TCTCTCTCTCTCTCTCTCTCCCCTCTCCTCTCTCACTCTCTCTTTAAGAAAAAAAAAAATTGCCTACTAAAGACAAAGATCAAAGAAAACCTCTCAAACTTAATATAGACCAAAACAAATTCAGGGAGATTTTTCAAGAGATCCAAATTCATATATTATATATTTCAAAATTTATGCCAGATGTCTAACCTCATCTAGAAAAGTATTATACTATTACTTAGCTAAACTTTAAAATAGAAGGCCATTTTAAAAATAGTTTTAAGAAAGATTTATCTTAACCATGTCCCAGTAACACAGAATAGGGACAAACCTGACAGTTTGTCTGGAGAATAGACAGTTCCCCAGGAAAACTGGTATCCAACAGATAAACAAAATGCCTTAAAAATAATTTTAATAAGACTTTACAAAAATCCTTCTATTTTCATAGAGAGATTTAAAGAGACAATACAGCACCTAAACTTATAGGGAGCCACCCATTTTCAAAAGATGAGTTTATCATCCAATTAGCTCTAGACATTCCAAAGGATTCACAAAGGTTAACATAGTCCTAGCCAAGTTTAGATGTTACACCATAATTAAATGGAGCCCCCCAAAAAGAAGAAGGGCAAGCATACAGACAGAAAGAAATTAAAATGTTAATATTTCCTTCCCCCCAAAAAATAAGCTTTCTAATTAAAAATTTTACTCCTAAGTTAAAAACAGATTTTGAAAAACTCTAAACATTGAAACAGGGCCTAACTTCAAACCCCTGTCAACCCCTGTCTCTGAGAAAAATAACCATAAAAATAATTACCCCTAAAGTATTAGACATCCATAAACAAATCAGCTCAATAGCTGATAGCTAATTTCAATAAGAAATTTTTAACATGATAGATGTTTTCTCAACTTTATTAATGAGATAATGCCCTACRTACATTGATGTTTTTAAAATTAATAAAATCATAAATTATACATAATTATTAGAGCTAACTTTACTACATTATTATAAATAAAGTTATTAAGGATGCTCACACAACTATTTCTTTATACACAAAGATTTTACACAAAGATTAGTTTGACACAACATCCCTCAAGATGTCATTGCTGGGGGTTGGGGATGTGGCTCAAGCGGTAGAGCGCTCGCCTGGCATGCGTGCGGCCCGGGTTCGATCCTCAGCACCACATACAAACAAAGATGTTGTGTCCGCCGAGAACTAAGAAAAAATAAATAAATGTTAAAATTCTCTCTCTCTCTCTGTCCCCCTCTCTCTCACTCTCTCTTTAAAAAAAAAAAAAAAAAAAGATGTCATTGCTGGTTCAGTGTCATACAAATTCTATATTAGATCATTGTCTTAAACCACACTGTTGACTTATTCTTACCCATTAATATTTGGGATACCAACTCTCCCTTCTTAGGTCAACACTAAGTTTGATAAAAATAATGATAGTTTTTCATGGACTCATAGATAAAAGACTATTCATCTTTCTATTTCATTTTTATTAATAATAAAACAAAACAAAACATCTTTTCTATGCTTAATTAGCATATGTACTTCCTATTTTGGACAGTTGTCTATATTTTTCGCATGCCCTTAGCAAAGGTCACCATTCTTAAGTTTCAAACTCTGTTTCTCACTTCATTCCAAATTAAGAAAATTATTTAAGTTAATTTAAAGCTAATTTCAAAATATAAATCTCTATATACAATTTATTATATTCTTCATTTCTGGTAATTCTGTTGAAGTCAAAAATCAAGTCATACATTTAATAAAGGCTGTTTCTATTTGCCATAGTCCCTTTCCAACACATTAATGTTGGACTTAACATAGCTAGCAGATGACCTTTGTCAAAATTTATGACTAGCTAAGAATAATAAATCCTTTCTTATTATTGAAATACTTGTACTATTATCTATAACTTAAATTGATGATACTACTGTTGATGCCAGGCCTTAACTCAATTTTATTAAATAAAGAAAAGTGGGAAAACAGAAGCCACAGACACATACTGGATCTTAAAAATATTTCAAAAATTTTCTTAACTGTGTTACTGAGAGTCTTATTGCTACTGAGCAGGATTCAGTAAATTAAATCAGATTTCAAAAGATAAGTTTAAACCTGTCATTGGGATAATGACTGAGAAACCTGGCACAGGAAGGTAAATTTCCAGCTGCAGAGTTTACAACCATGCAGCTTCACAAGTTTATCTAAGTAAAAATTATGAAGAGACTTCTATGGACTCATTTCTCAGGTCCATTTTTAATGTACATCGTAGTGGGGACTGGAAAGTCCACCAATGAAACTAGATTAACTGTACTGACTGTAATTGTCAGTTATACCTTATGTTGATCCTATGGTAAACAAGCTGTCCGGGAGTATTTTTTGAGAAAAAGACAGCATATAAGAAACCTAAACCAGCCAATCATGCTGGCCCTTAGAGGTTAAGACTATATTTACTTATCTGGACAAGTGTCAGATTATTAAAATAGATTTTTCCTAAACAGAGCAGTTATTTACATAAAATATCCACCAATGTATTACTGTCCTAATCATTCTACAATATAAGTTGGCCCCTTTTCTAAGTGGATGGATTGTGCATGTCTTGTCAGTACAAYACAAGATGTCTAGAAGTAGTGGATATTTTAGGCTGGTCTCCTAGAATGGACAAGAACGATTACAGGAGGATGCCATAACTCCTAAAAACTTTAACTCTCACTGAGACGGCATCCAAAAGGATGTTTTGATGTTGACTTCTGCTAAGTATACTTACCTTACTGGCAGACCCATAGACCCCTTAAATGTGAGAATTAAGAGAAAGAATAATGAATATCCTGTGAGTATACAACTTATCTTTTTGTTTCACTAGTTATTGCCAGCTAATATTTCAGAGCAATAACATGCTGAAGTTAATTCTCAGGCTTTGAAACAGGTGCATCCAATTAGCCAAACCTAGGCAAGCTCCTGGTCTCATGATCCTTGAATGACTACCTTCAGTATTATTCCTTGCTTCTACAATATAGCCATGATAGCTAAGTTTTAGAACTTACAACATATGGATTTTCTTAATAGTTTGACTTAAATTCTAAGTTAAAATGCTCTAGAAGCCCCTGTAATGAATAATGCAAATGAACCCTCTCCACTATGGTTTGTGGAAAGGCTTAAACACATGCCAAATAAAAATGTCTGTGTTACTATAACCAGACATAATGCTTCCCAATAAAATTGGGAAAAGATTAAGAATCTTCTGATGAGTGTTTGGCAGAATAATAATAATCTAGATCTTCCAAGTTGATTATGTTGTCGAAATGATATGTTTTCTACTAATTCTTTTTGTGTTTCAATAGTAGATCATGATGACCTTGAACCAAGAATCCAGTGACTGAAAGATATAATTCCCTAGTTGCTTTTTTTAATATTAAGAAAGGGGGAATATGTGGGGAGCTGCTCTGATGACCATGCCTTCCAGTCCTGAAGCACAAGGCTCTGACCAATCACTACATTTCATGGTGACTTGGGCATGGTGACTTAGGCATTGTCCCAGCTCGGATACCAACATATGGCTCCAGGAGTAGGTGTCACCCTACCCCTTGCCTCATTTGAATGGCTTCTTCCCAATAAAAGGTTCAGCATGTGCTCCTCTCTCTTCCCATGAACACCAAAGTTAAGGGGGGGGGGGGCTGTCACAGCATCCAAAGAAAAAGGTATTTCTCTGTCTCTATGAGATGATTTCCTGCAGCCCAGTTCACCTGGAGTGACCCTGAGTGTTTAGTCGTGGGACACGACACCCTTTTATCTCTTATTTTACTTTGTCTCTTTATCAAAGTTTTTTCACTTACACGTATTTTACCCTACATGACTTCTAGACTATTTAATCTAAGGTCACGGAGAGTAAAAGAGAAAGGATGGAAAGGAATAACGAAAAATGAATTAAAGGAAGCAGAGGTGGCAAGAATTATATTAAGTAAAACACAATTTGAAACCAAGTTATATGAAATAAAATACATTTTAAGTAAAAAAAAAAAAAAAAACAACTTTCATATGAGACAAAGTAGAATATAACAATAAAAGGCACCTCTCTCTAGGACACTACAGAAACAGTGAATATGTAGGCAATGCACCTCACACTTCCCAAATATAGAAAGCAAATTTGAGAGAATTAAAGAAACAGAAAGAACACGGTAATACTAGGAGAAATCAATCCCCATTTACTATAATGAAAAATAAAACCAGACACAATGGTAATCAGGAACTACAAGACTTCAAAAAATGTTATATAGCAATTAGACTTACAGAGTAAATCTTCTTAATAGTTCATAAAATATTATTCTGGATAAGCCAACTTAAAAGCACAAAATGAACATTAATAAATATTGAAATTATTTTCTAAGCATAATATAACTACCACTGATCTAAAGTGAAGAATGTTTATCACCTTGAGATAGAGAGGTCAATCACAAAGGGAAATATCATTAATATTTTCCTATCTATACTAACAGATGTCCAGTCTTCTCTGAAAGCACGTATCAGAAACATTCATTTGGAGCAGTTTCCAAGAGATAATCTGAAAGGAAGGAGATTTTACACTGATAGTGAATGCTGAGTTCTGAAGGGAAGCCCTGCTCACCCAGGAAGAACAGGTTTCCGTAGTTCTCTAACATCACATCTTTATATAGATTCTGCTGAGAAGGGTCCAGGCAATCCCATTCCTCTTGAGAGAAATCAATGGTAACATCCCTGAATGTCAACGGTTCCTGAAAAAAAAGAGAATACGTATATGAGTAGCATAATGACCGTGTGATCACCGATAGTCTTTAATTGGACCCCAGTTGAAATGTTAGGAGAACCAGTTCTCACCCAGGCAGCTGACCTCCATTATTCAGTAATATACTTTTAAACACACTGATGTGCTCTAATGTATTATCTAACTCTGAAGAGAGAAGATGATATAAGTAAAAAACATATATACTACTAAAAAGAACAAATAAAAAATTTTAAGTATATACTAAACGTTTCTAAAATAAAATGTAAAATTAAGGCATCAACACAAGAATATACATTTTAACCATGTTTGCAGAAGATCAATTGTATATATTTCTCAAATGAGAGTTACATTGAGTAAGAGGATGCTTCTCAAATTTTAACATGTACAAACATGAATTAGAAATTTTATGAAAAAAGCAGGCAATGATTCAGCCGTTTTGGAATGTAATATGGATTTCTGAACACAGAGCAAGCCCTCTAGTGATTCCAATGCCAATGGTCCAAAGAAAAGCCCTTGAATAGCAATGAAGTAGAATAATAAAGGAAAATTTGATGAATTTGAATTCCAATGTTAAGAGATTTATGCATTTCATTATAACAGCAAGGAGCAACAACAATCCTTTTGGATTGTTTTGGTTCACTGCAAATATATAAATATCACTCTAAGTGGTTTTCATACCTTATGTATAAAACCCATAATAACCTATGAGAGACCTAATAGTTTTCATCTTTTATGCCATTTTATCAAACATCCAGTAAATGGTAGAATCCAGGTTTTATCCAAGTTTTTCTGACATAATTCATAAAAAGGTCAAAATAAAGTGTGAATATTAAAAAAATTTTTCAGGGGCTGGGGGAGTGCTCAGTGGTACAGCACTTGCCTAGCATGTGCGAAGCCCTGGGTCAGATCCTCAGCACCATATAAAATAAATAAATAAAATAAAGATATTGTGTTCAACTACAACTAAAAAATAAATATTAAAAAATAGAATTTTCATAACAGGACAGTCATTATAACCAAAGAGTAGTGTAAACATTTAAAGAAGGCAGCAAAATCAGACTCATCAATGATATTTACATTTTAGCACACATACAAAACGGCAACTTTTTATACATTAAGACAGAATTGTTCATGTGAACAGAAATAAAAAATATATTCAATTGGGGAAAATTATAAATCAACTGGGGGTTGGCTTTTATATTACTGACATACACACACTGGAAGAATAAAGGATGAAGAGCTCAGGTTGTGTATTTTCTTTTCCTTTCCTGCATCCTCTGCTCCGAGCTGTGACTTTGACTCTAAGGAAGGTGAGCGTGTGTAACTCCCGCCTCTGTAACCCAGAATGCGGGCAGGCGAGGGCGCTACAGGACCCGCATGCTAATCACGGTCCCTTGAGCCATGGTTTCTCTGGGACCCACCAGGTGGAGACCACCGGATCCTGCTGGCCCGTCTTAGCTCAGAGCCTTGAGGCCTGGCAGCCTCCAGATGGACAAGCAGGCCAGAGGCCACCAACCCCTAGGCAAGGCCCTGCCGCAAGGAGAGCAGGACACCTGCTGAGACTTCCTTCCCACCCATTCCTCCTGACCTGTGCCCTCTCCTGAGGCCAAAGCCCTCCGGTTAACCCTAACCCTCTGCTAATACTCTGGCCTGTTGGCCTTTCTTTTCTGATGTATCCCTTTCATAGCTTTAATGCACAGCCAGCCCCATCCCTCGGGGAGGTGACACCAGGAGGCACAGTAAGGTGGAATCCAGCGGAAGCACAGGTGACTAGGGTCTGATTCAGAACCTCCAGTAGCAAGGCCAATGTCTCCCTCAAACAACAGTGGGAATTTTCCCTCTCCAAAACAAGCCCCAAGCCTGAAGTAAAAAAAAAAATGAATTTCTGCATCAAATATGATGGTTTATACAAATTATTTTTAAAATCCTGATAAAATACTTAATGATAAAAAGAAAGAAATTAACTTGGGGAAGTCATTAACCATGGGGAAGAATCTGTCACAGAAAGTWTAGACCAAGCAAATAAGGTGGAATTTACTGTAAAAGGAGCATGCAAAAATGGACACACCATCACTGCAGGGTTATCAGCGCCCCAAACAAAGTGAAATAAAAGGTGCCCACCAGTTTTATGTAAAGCATGAGATGATCACATCTCCTGTGCTCTGTAGGTACCCACAGGGTAGCACTTTCCTAGCACTCTGGAGAATGGATCTCAGAACCAAACTAAAAAAGACAAGATCACCTGAACTGATGCAGAAAAAGGCTTCAGTGAAATTCAACCCCACTTCTTGATAAAAATCCTTAATAAACTAGGGATAGAAGGAACTTACTTCAAATCATAGTGGCTACATATGACAACCACAAAGCCAACAGCATGATGAGTGTAAAGAAATGAAAGCACTTCCTCTAAAACCAAGAACAACATGAGGATGTCCACACTCATAAATTCTGCTCAATGTCATACTTGTATTTTTAGCTGGAGCATTTGGCAAGGGACAGAAATAAATGGACACAAATTAAAAATGAAAAACTCAAAATACCCATATCTGCAAAGGATATGATCCTTCCTACACTTAGGAAATTCTGAAACCTTCAACAAAGAATCCCAGATCTGATCAACAAATCCAACAAAGTAACAGAATAAGAAAATCAATGCCAAAATCAGTAGCTTTTTTTTTTTTTGTACTGGGGACTGAATTCCAGGTCACTCAACCACTGAGCCACATTCCCAGCCCTTTTTTATATTTCATTTAGAGACAGGGTCTCACTGAGTTGCTGAGGTTGGCTTTGAATTCACGATCCTTCTGCCTCTGCCTCCCCAGCCACTGCACCCATCCTAACCAGAGCTTTTCTATACAATAATCTGCTGAAAAAGAAATTAAGAAGCCTATTCCATTCAAAATAACTTTAAARAGTAAAATGCTCAGGAATAAATCTGACAACAGAAGTGAAAAACTTTAACAAGCAAGCAAAATTACAGACCAGTGAGTGAGGCAGAACAGGATGCAAGGAGAAGGGAAGACTCCCAGTGTTCATGGAAAAACTCTAGAGACTCGAGGCAACCCCCTCCAAATACCAATGAGATCCTTCACAGTAGACAAATAATCCTAAAATTCACATGGAATCCTAAAAAGTCCAGCAAGTAAAGCAGTCCTGAGTAAAAACAGTGAAGCTGAAGGAATCACAATACCCGACTTCTGATTACAGACAAGAGCAACAAAACATGGTGGTGCTGGAATAAAAGCAGACACACAAGAACAAGCGATGGAACAGAGGAGAGAACAGACAGAGCCTCATGGCTGTGATCATTTGATGACCGACAAAGGCCAAAATAACAAACATTAGAGAAAAGAAGTCCTCTCTAACAACTGGTGCTGGGAACATGGGGATGTCTGCATGTCAAAGACTGGGCCTACATTCCTATCTCTAAACCTGCACAAAGGTCAACCCCAAATGGGTCAAGACCTAAAACCAGAAACTTTACAGCTGCTACAAGAAAACTAGGAACAGTCCAACATAGTGCACAGGATTTGCTTCCCCACTAGGATCTTACAGTTCAGTAAATAACCAAGAATCAATAAATGAGGGTTGGGGAAATATCTCAGTTGGTAGAGTGCTTGCCTAGCATGTACAAAACCCTGAGTTCAATCCCCAGCACCACAGAAAAAAAGAATCAATAAATGAGATGGCATTAAACCAAAAACCTTCTGCATGGCAAAGGAAAAAAACATCAGCCAGAATAGATAGCCTACTAAATGAGAGAAGATCTTTGTCATTTACTACTGATTAATATCCAGAATACAAAATGAACTTAAAACCAGAAAACAAAACAACCCATTCAGCTGGGCATGGTGGCGCATGCCTGTAATCYCAACGGCTGAGGAGGCTGGGGCAGGAGGTTCCTGAGTTCAAAGCCAGCCTCAGCAACAACAAGGTGCTAAGCAACTCAGTGAGACTCTGTCTCTAAATAAAATACAAAATAAGGCTGGGGATGTAGCTCAGTGGCCAAGTGACCCTGAGTTCAATCCCTAGTACCAAAAAAAAAAAAAAAAAAAAAAAAATTCAATAAAATAAATATTTCTCATCTCTCAAAAAAATAGCACAGGGCTGGGGATGTGGCTCAAGTGCTTGCCTGGCATGCGTGCAGCCCAAGTTCGATCCTCAGCACCATATATAAACAAAGATGTTGTGTCCGCCGAAAACTAAAAAATAAATATTAAAAATTTTCTCTCTCTCTCACTCTCTTAAAAAAAAAAGCACAAATAGCAAACAATTATAAAGAAAATGTTCCAAATTTTTAACAATCACGGAAATGCAAGTCAAAAGTTTCCTAAGACTCCACGTCACTCCAGTTAGAATGCCAATCATCAGGACTACAAATAATAAATGCTGACAAGGACATGGGAGAAAGGGAGTACACATACAACACTGCTGAGAATATAAATTAATACAACCACTACAGAAATCAGGGTGGATGCTTCCTCAGAAAACCCGAAGAACTACTACATGAGTCTTGGGATCTATCTTAACAGTTTGGAGATGGATTCCCATGCTTACAGCACCACAACTCACAACAGCTGTTATGGGACTAGTCTAGGTGTCCATCAGTAGATCAATGGAAAAAGAAAGTGTGGCATATACATACAAGGAAGTTTCATTCAGCCATAAAAAAATAAAATTATGTCACTTGCAGGAAAATGGAAGGAACTGGGAACATCATTTTCAGTGTTTAAATAAGCCAGACTCAGCAATTATTGTAAATTTTGTCATATTTGGAAGCCAGAGAGAAAAAAAGAGAAAAGGGATCTCATGAAAAAAAAAAAAGAGAGACCATTGGGTAGAGGAAGGACTCTGGAAGAGGGAGGCCTGGAGGGCAAAGGGAGACACTGGGAATGACAGTGATCAACATATTTTCTGTGAATCTGGACTTAACCCACATTGAAACACTACTATTCAATAAAATTAATACATATCAGTGAAAATTTTATT